TATTCTTTTGTTTACATGGTAATTAGCCCTCTTTGCCCCGTCAACATGTACAAAATACAAAAGAATTTTGAAGTGAAAATGAGGCAAAGAGGGCTAATTAAAACATGCAGACAAAAGAATAATAAATTAGCCGCCATTTTGGAATAAGGTGTATACCGGGTCTCAACTTTTGTGGATTACTTTGTACAGGCTACCCAACATATTCAAAGCTCAAAGCTTCCAAGAAACTCTACCTTGAAACCAAAACGGCCTGCCAAGGGGTGCAGGGTGAGAATCAGAAAGTAGGCATATTCATCAAAGCTCAGCCCTGCAGTCGGCCACCAGCGGCCACCTATTAAACACAAACCCCCCACCACCCCCCTATTAGGCGGCCAGTAATCAAAGTCCTAATGAGGACTTTCTACTGTTTTTACCTATCGTTTTTACCAGGGTGGCCGTTTAACACGGTTGAACTGTACACCGTTGAACTTCAATAACCCTGTTTGGATAACGTGAAAGTTTTGCCAGAGATCTAAACTAAGGAATTGGGACACTAAGGAAATATGTTGCAAAAACTGTTGAAAACATTTGCGCATAGTTTGAAAAAAGTTTAACCGCTTGCAGTCTGGCATGCAGTCTGCTTTTCTCTTAAACGTCTGGAAAAGAGTATGCCAGTTTTAACTCAAGAATGGATTGGAATGAAACAACGGTGCAGTGTGCACTTCTTGTCCATAAACTGCCTTTTCTGTGTTCATGTTTCACCGAAGTAAGTGCACATCCTCTAGGCTTGATTTCAAGCCACTGTTTGGGAAATGAGCCTGCGCTGGAGGAATAAAGACCAGACGCTGGAGAGCAGCTAGTGCATACTCTCCCTATCAGACCCTGTAGCAAGAAGCAGACTACAGGCAGCATAGCAAAAAGTTGAGAGTGCTCAGAATTATTCAGGGGTGATCTTCATCATAACTACATGGTCACTCTTAAACAGTTGGTTGCCAACTATTTTTTTTGCTAGAGAAGGGGGGCGAAGGTCTCTGTCGAGGCAGTTTTCATCATAGACATCACTAACCACCAAGGTGATATAAATGTCTTGCAACACTTAGCAGTGCTATTTTTGGATTGACTATGACTATCAATTAAGACAAACTGTACTCAGCACAGATTTTTTAAAAAAGCAACATAACTTTATTTTTCATAATTTGCTAAAATTCAATGACATTTGGTGGTACATTTTATGCTTACAGGTACATCAAATGTGTAAATTGTGGTAAGAAACTACATTAGGTCTAGAATGTGTTGAATAACTTGTTGTGTTCTCATGGCAAACATATCCAGAAACTAGGCGGTACGCAATGCTTACATGCTCCCATCACCACTTTGGCAGTTTGTACCTATTCTTTACATCTCTGTCTATAACTTATACGCTTCTTTTTGCCACCCATATCTTAGCTTTGCCCAGGCTTGTGGGTAAGTGGCTATGTTTGTAATGAGAGTGACTGACAAGTTTCACTGAACATATTTGAGTAAAACAATGAAGACGAATAACTTCTACATTATTGCAAAACTCTTTGGCAATGATTTGAATGCGAAATGTTTGCACCCAGTAATCTCTAGTTAGAGCTCTACATTATGGTATTAGTTTATTATCAATAACTTATAAATTAGTCTTTTCTAGAACGAGTCTTTTCCATGAAGAAATAAAAACAGTGCAACAGCCGCATTCACAACAAGCCCCAAAACACCAAATGATGGCCATCCATAGTTCTTATACATAATACTCCCCAGGGTGGGGGAGACAGTTCGTATAAGGGAGTTGGTTGCCATGGAGAGACCTAATACTGCACCAGTTTTGTTGATTGCGACACTTTTTGTCATGGCAGATGTTGTGATGACGTTTAGCGTTGTCCCACCAACCACCATTGGTATGATCACAATACAGAACTGGTAGATATCAGTTACCATATACTGAAAGAAAACACAAAAGGACATCAGAAATCTCAGACTGCACAACAATACCATATTTGCCAATGTGTTTACATTTTTGTCCAAAAATTGGAAAGCAAAAAGTTCATACTTTTCTTGGCTGTAACAAAATTAATGATTTTAAACAGAAACAAACATTCCAATAGTTCTTGCAAACAGTACAATACAAAGCTTGGCTGAGTAATAGCCTGACTGAGTGGATGGGAACTAAGAGTATTTCTTCTCCCCTCTGGAGGGGGTACTAGTCCATCGTAAGGTAACCCCTCCCCCCAGCATTAAATTCTCCAGGACCCAATTATACACCTGGGTGGAGAGAGGCACTGTGAGAGTAAAGTGCCTTGCCCAAGAACACAATGCAGTGTCCTCAAACTCAGACTGCATTATCCAAAGACAAGCACACTAACCGTGAGGCCACAGCACCTCCACAAAGAGAGGAAAACTATCTACTTTCAAACCTTGGCTGAATGCTTAGTTAACCACAGCATCTCTAGGGGATCTTAGCAATTTTGTACTCTACAAAACCATAGCAGAAGACTATCTTTATTTCCTCACCAAAAGAGCATAAGCCAAGGCAATAACACAAATAGCACTTCTCAATAAAACAGCTTCACTAAATCTTCTGGACAGTACACCTACAATGAGGCCTTGAACAAGCTGNTTTATACACCTGGGTGGAGAGAGGCACTGTGAGAGTAAAGTGTCTTGCCCAAGAACACAATGCAGTGTCCTCGAACTCAGACTGCATTATCCAAAGACAAGCACACTAACTGTGAGGCCACAGCACCTCCACAAAGAGAGGAAAACTATTTACTTTCAAACCTTGGCTGAATGCTTAGTTAGCCACAGCATCTCTAGGGGATCTTAGCAATTTTGTACTCTACAAAACCATAGCAGAAGACTGTCTTTATTTCCTCACCAAAAGAGCATAAGCCAAGGCAATAACACAAATAGCACTTCTCAATAAAACAGCTTCACTAAATCTTCTGGACAGTACACCTACAATGAGGCCTTGAACAAGCTGTAAAAACAAAATGATTCAAACCAACATAAAAAAAAACATTAATTTATAATGTTTGCAGACCATTTATGATTTTACAAAGATCTACGTATAAGAATTCTCAGTAGGAACTTCAGGGATGTTGAAAAGTTGCTGTAAACATTCTTTTAACAGTAAAAAGGCTTTTTCGTTTCCATTGACCCATCTCCAAACATAACAATACATTACAACATCTCCAAAGATTACAAAAATTCAGGCCTGAACAGGTTCCAATATATGATCTTTCATATATTCATTAATTAGCAATCTTCACCATCTACAGGACCGGAATATTACAAGCCCACAAAGTGACCAGCTCCCAGTTGGCTTGATAGCTCAGTTGGTAGAGCACTGCACCGGTATCGCAGAGGTCATGGGTTTGAGTCCTGTTCAGGCCTGAATTTTTTTCAGGCTTTAATTTCTCAACTGGTTAAGTTGTGTGCATAACTGCGATGATCATTTATGTCTTCATTACAACAATTAGTTGGCATGCACTATGCAAACTTACTCACTATTTCTTTTACAAAAAACTTCAATTTACTTACAATTGAAAGACCTCCAACATAAGACATGACAAAGCCATTGTGCTGAGGCTCCAACTTAAAAAATTCCATGGACACCAAAGAAAACATGGACTGGAAAATTCCAAACGGGATTCCTGTGATGACTTTGATAGTTATTAAGTAAAACACTGTCGGTATCTTCATGAGTTCAAGGATCTTCTGGACACTAAAAACACTGCCTGATTGTTCCTTGTTATCTGAAACACGAATAACAGCAGTACTTCATTTACATGGATTTTAACAGTTCATAATAATGAAAAATCGTTGTAACAGTAATTGAGTGGACGTTTCATTATGGATCTGCTTCCGGTACACAGGAAGTACTCACAATTTGGGTCAGTGACCTTACGAAATGGAACAAAAAACATTCAATTTATACTTGCTCAATTAACATATTGCGACTTGTAAGGGTGAATAGGCAAATACTTATTCTAGCCTTGAGTACATATTATTCCAAATAATTCTGGAATTTTCTTGGACAGAAAGTTTTTAAACCCAATCATGCGAAAAACAATAAACCCTGAAACCATCCAAAATAAGTTCTCTCCATTTTTGATAAACAAAAATTAACGGTTTCCCCGACTTCAAGCAACCTTCTGTTTAGAACTCTGATTTTTCTAAACGCTAAAGCAGGTCACCTGACCTAGCAAGGAAAGATTCTTAGTACCGGTACATAATTTGTGACAGGGAAAAACAAAATTACTGGTATCAACCAGGATTAAGATCAATGGATCCATGGGCCTACAGAGGTTATAATAAAAAGAATAGCGTGCTCATCATGATCAAGAATAGCTTATTAGCTCATAATTAACACCACTCCTCACCTGTTGGCAGCTTTTCAGCAGATTTGTCACCTTTTGATAATGATTTGGTATTATGTGGGATGAAAAGTAATGCTATGAAGATGCTGATGAATGAAAAAGCTGCTGCAAAGAATGCTGCAGATTGTTCTCCATAATTCTTTGTGATGAGACCACCAATAAAGGGACCAATAACCATTCCAATTGCATATGACACACCCAGTTTGCCAAGTGCATCTGCACGACCTACACCACAGTCAGTGACAGATAAAAGTCAGAAAGTAATATGAACATTGACAAGACATAGTGATCACATGGTTGCTAGCAAGGTGTTAAAACTTTGGATGGAGTTATCTGGGCGTGAATGCTGGCAGGGACCATTGTATTTATTCTTACCTTCCTGATCTGAGATGTCTGTTACAACCATTTGTGATCCTGAAAGTAAGAAAATTTAATAAGATAAATTAGGTTGTAAGATAATTTAGTAGCATTAAATTGTCATTGAAGCTTGGCAATAAAAGGGAATAACTAGTAGTTAAACAATAGAGTTGCTAAAAATATATCCCAGTCTCAAAGCTCAAGTCTTTGCTCTTTTATTTGCAAGTAAGGAACAGAACAAGCCACAGAATGAGCCACTTAAGACAGTCCCATAGCTGGTAATAAAATGTAAAAATGACAAGAAATAAGACCAATGAGCCTGATTTCAAATGGAAGTCCAACATTTTCTGGCTCCCAATCAGAACTTTCCACAGCTGCTTGCTCCCTAACCACTGGTCAAGGGAAACAAAAACTCCAACTGCTAGAGGGATCCCCCATAACATGAACCTGTCAGGGCCAGATTGTTCAAAGAGTGGATATATCTCTATCCATGGCCAGCAGATAAGTGTTGATGAAACAAACTGTACCATCCACTGGATAGTGATTTATCCAGTGATAGCATTATCCACCCTTTGAACAACCAGGGTCAGATCTCGCTAATTCAAATAGGCAAGCATAATCTTTCGGTGATGGTTTGTTTCTTTCAGCCACACGATACCCACAATCACGACTAAAAAAGAGACTGTAACTAGAATCACTTTCTCCTGTCTAACTAAAATATAATGACCACAAAACTCCACAGGAACCCTAACATTTCACACTAGCTCCTACTGTGCAAAATAAATAATTATTATGTTTTACAAATGTACCAACCTTGCATTGCATGCATGAAAACTGAAGGAAGTCTTGAAAGAAACAGCATGCTTACAGTGGATGCTATTCCAAGAATGGAGTAGCTTAAAGCCGCTGCAGCAAACGACAGAACAAGAGCTGCTCTGCTACCAAAAATATCTCCAAATCTTCCAAAGATTGGCCCACCGCACAACTGTACCACAGCAAATGTAGTCTGAAGGTATCCAAACACCACTGGGTCTGCTCCAAGTTTCTTTGATAAATACTTAATTAAAAATAAAAGACAAACTGAATTAGACAAAACCCTCATGAAACCCATTTTGCCTGGTTATCGACTGAGAAGCAGCTGGGATCCATAACATGCAAAAAACGTAGCTATTGGCCAATATGCAACCATCTTGAACTTATGTTTTGGTGAAAAACCCACATATATCCTGTCTTAATTTTAAATAAAGAAATAAAAACCGGACCCAAAATTGGCTGTTTCTCCAATGTAGTTTTTATATAATTCTGTGGTACCAGGATGTTTAATTTAAAGTATGGTTCAGTAACTGCATAAAAAGCTCAGCAACCCTTCTCCAGGCATTCAACATTTTAAACTTTCAGTTGGTCAAATTCCAGTCCCCTGGGGCAAAATGGTGTTCAAATGCCCCACCTTAGGGTCATACTATGCAATGAAATGTCCCATCCCCCAAGACATGCATGGGAAAAATAAATAGTGAAAAAGCAAAAAAAATACCTTGAACAAAAGATTTCAGCTTCCACTGTGCCAAGAATAATTCATTTACATATTATAATAATTCAAAACTATTGAATAACTAAATTCCTTCAAACACTGTACAGACCTTTTGAAGGCATTGTTTTTGATCCACAACATATACAAAAAACGGTGTTTTCTCTTGAGGCATATAAAGTGTCAAATTTCCCACCCATAACCCACCACATTATCAACTACTGATGGCAATTCCCGCCACCGGGAATATTGATTTAGTCACTCAAATACCTGGGGTATTCTCACGTTGTCGGGAGAGATGTAAGGGGGATGTTGTTCGGGGATGTTGATCGGGGATGTTGATGTGTCTGTTTGATCGTTACATCAGCAAAGTGTAAAATTTAAAATAATTTGCACTATGTAAATCGGAAAAATAAATAGCCCCCAGTTAATATTGTACGCTAAAACAACAGTTCTTCATGTCGTTGATAAGGGGTGTCTCAAAAATTAAGATCTAAGACCCGATGATCAAATTATCTGATACGTAAGCTTATACAGCCGCAATTTTGAGGTCACTGAAATTACTTTATTTACCAACAAATCCTTCACTTACCGGCAGGACTCCAATTTGAACCCAAAAACAAGATGAATATATAACAGCGTTCAAGTGCGTGTTCAAAATAAGCCATTTTCGATCACTCTTCAGAGAGGTCGTGGCTTTCATTGTGTTCTCTGACGATATCAGGATGTCATCTTGCTCTGAAGCCATTTCTCCGTTCATGTCCGCTCGTTTACGTATTTCAGAGTCTAGGGACATGTTTCTGCAACGTATAGAAACTAGGAACCCAATCTATCACCGGCAAAACAAAGAAAGGTGAATGCAATGATGCTCGAATTTGCCATGTCACCGAAACCGGCAAATGTTTTCGAAGCCACTATCCATCACGCCAGCGGTATTGCAAACAGAGACCACTTGGAAAGATGCCACGTGGCCGCTTCTTAGCGTTTTCAATTCACTTTCCATCCAGATGTAAGCTCTAAGAAGGGCATGTTTAAAACACCAAATGGCGAAATAGCGCTCCGCCTAGTCTAAATTAAAATAACGCTCAGGCTAGCCTAAATATCAATGACTCCACAGTGGGTAATGATTAGGAACTTTTGCAACGCTGCATTTATTCTGGCTAATAGTCATATTTGGAAGTTATCTATTTAGCCTTAGAGATTTCTCTGAATGTTGTCTTCAAAAATGTGTGGACATAGATTCATATCGTATTTATGACACTGTGAAGTAGTCACGCTCACTTTGGAAGTAACACAACACGATACACAACCCTCACTCTCGCTTAAGTAATCAATAACAGCTGAAAAAAATTCAATATTTAGAATGTAAGACCAGCAGAAAAGTAATTTCTACTTTTGAGCACCTTTCTTGACTAGACAGGAAAACGTTCACTTCTCTTGAAGTTGCGTTGCAAGCAATGGCAAGTTAAATGCTGCCTTTCTCTGGTTCTATGGTGAAGTGGACTGGAGGCTGTTGTTTATTCAGATCCTGTTAAAAGCTATTGGCACTTTTGCAACCTGTTTTCTCCAGAGCATAGCCCTGTAAGATGATGTATGCTTCAGAACAAAAAAATTGTTTTAATTTGTCAGGCAACGCTTCTTGAACATTGTTTGGGTTATTGCGCAGTTTTAAATTAGCACTTCTTTCTTTTAGGGGTGTGTAACCTTACCTCGACAGGAATGGATAATCAGCAAAATATTTATTTATTATTTATTATTATTATAAAATATACGGGGGGGAGGGGGGATTCTCACGCTCTCTGATTGGCTAAGAAAACTTGCGCCTTCCTCCCAACGAATCAGATGACAAGCTGAAGCCGTTTTCCTATGCTCTATGTTAATTGTAGGCTTAACAAGGTTCTCCTTGGTTCATTGTGATATCTACCTCTGATCTGATTGGTCGCTGTGACTGGATTACTTTCAAGTTCACAGAACTCAGTTAAAAAGCGTCCCATAAAATATATCATATCATTTGACCTGCAGATGATAGGAGGCAAACTGATCCTACCTCAAAGGTGTGCATTGAAAGAAAATTTGAGTTACGAAGCAAGTCGCTAGTATACACTTGGCTGCCTCAGAATCATTCATTTTCATAATTGAAGACAAGAAAACATTCAGTTTATTAACTTACCTATGGCACATAGTAACTAAAATCACCTTAAGTTAAGATTGGGTTCAGTCATTTATAAATGAATTGCCTTAAACGATAATACCTCCTTACGAATTTAANTTATACACCTGGGTGGAGAGAGGCACTGTGAGAGTAAAGTGTCTTGCCCAAGAACACAATGCAGTGTCCTCGAACTCAGACTGCATTATCCAAAGACAAGCACACTAACTGTGAGGCCACAGCACCTCCACAAAGAGAGGAAAACTATTTACTTTCAAACCTTGGCTGAATGCTTAGTTAGCCACAGCATCTCTAGGGGATCTTAGCAATTTTGTACTCTACAAAACCATAGCAGAAGACTGTCTTTATTTCCTCACCAAAAGAGCATAAGCCAAGGCAATAACACAAATAGCACTTCTCAATAAAACAGCTTCACTAAATCTTCTGGACAGTACACCTACAATGAGGCCTTGAACAAGCTGTAAAAACAAAATGATTCAAACCAACAGAAAAAAAACATTAATTTATAATGTTTGCAGACCATTTATGATTTTACAAAGATCTACGTATAAGAATTCTCAGTAGGAACTTCAGGGATGTTGAAAAGTTGCTGTAAACATTCTTTTAACAGTAAAAAGGCTTTTTCGTTTCCATTGACCCATCTCCAAACATAACAATACATTACAACATCTCCAAAGATTACAAAAATTCAGGCCTGAACAGGTTCCAATATATGATCTTTCATATATTCATTAATTAGCAATCTTCACCATCTACAGGACCGGAATATTACAAGCCCACAAAGTGACCAGCTCCCAGTTGGCTTGATAGCTCAGTTGGTAGAGCACTGCACCGGTATCGCAGAGGTCATGGGTTTGAGTCCTGTTCAGGCCTGAATTTTTTTCAGGCTTTAATTTCTCAACTGGTTAAGTTGTGTGCATAACTGCGATGATCATTTATGTCTTCATTACAACAATTAGTTGGCATGCACTATGCAAACTTACTCACTATTTCTTTTACAAAAAACTTCAATTTACTTACAATTGAAAGACCTCCAACATAAGACATGACAAAGCCATTGTGCTGAGGCTCCAACTTAAAAAATTCCATGGACACCAAAGAAAACATGGACTGGAAAATTCCAAACGGGATTCCTGTGATGACTTTGATAGTTATTAAGTAAAACACTGTCGGTATCTTCATGAGTTCAAGGATCTTCTGGACACTAAAAACACTGCCTGATTGTTCCTTGTTATCTGAAACACGAATAACAGCAGTACTTTATTTACATGGATTTTACAGTTCATAATAATGAAAAATCGTTGTAACAGTAATTGAGTGGACGTTTCATTACGGATCTGCTTCCGGTACACAGGAATGGAAACTTAACTTTCAAGTACTCACAATTTGGGTCAGTGACCTTACGAAATGGAACAAAAAACATTCAATTTATACTTGCTCAATTAACATATTGCAACTTGTAAGGGTGAATAGGCAAATACTTATTCTAGCCTTGAGTACATATTATTCCAAATAATTCTGGAATTTTCTTGGACAGAAAGTTTTTAAACCCAATCATGCGAAAAACAATAAACCCTGAAACCATCCAAAATAAGTTCTCTCCATTTTTGATAAACAAAAATTAACGGTTTCCCCGACTTCAAGCAACCTTCTGTTTAGAACTCTGATTTTTCTAAACGCTAAAGCAGGTCACCTGACCTAGCAAGGAAAGATTCTTAGTACCGGTACATAATTTGTGACAGGGAAAAACAAAATTACTGGTATCAACCAGGATTAAGATCAATGGATCCATGGGCCTACAGAGGTTATAATAAAAAGAATAGCGTGCTCATCATGATCAAGAATAGCTTATTAGCTCATAATTAACACCACTCCTCACCTGTTGGCAGCTTTTCAGCAGATTTGTCACCTTTTGATAATGATTTGGTATTATGTGGGATGAAAAGTAATGCTATGAAGATGCTGATGAATGAAAAAGCTGCTGCAAAGAATGCTGCAGATTGTTCTCCATAATTCTTTGTGATGAGACCACCAATAAAGGGACCAATAACCATTCCAATTGCATATGACACACCCAGTTTGCCAAGTGCATCTGCACGACCTACACCACAGTCAGTGACAGATAAAAGTCAGAAAGTAATATGAACATTGACAAGACATAGTGATCACATGGTTGCTAGCAAGGTGTTAAAACTTTGGATGGAGTTATCTGGGCGTGAATGCTGGCAGGGACCATTGTATTTATTCTTACCTTCCTGATCTGAGATGTCTGTTACAACCATTTGTGATCCTGAAAGTAAGAAAATTTAATAAGATAAATTAGGTTGTAAGATAATTTAGTAGCATTAAATTGTCATTGAAGCTTGGCAATAAAAGGGAATAACTAGTAGTTAAACAATAGAGTTGCTAAAAATATATCCCAGTCTCAAAGCTCAAGTCTTTGCTCTTTTATTTGCAAGTAAGGAACAGAACAAGCCACAGAATGAGCCACTTAAGACAGTCCCATAGCTGGTAATAAAATGTAAAAATGACAAGAAATAAGACCAATGAGCCTGATTTCAAATGGAAGTCCAACATTTTCTGGCTCCCAATCAGAACTTTCCACAGCTGCTTGCTCCCTAACCACTGGTCAAGGGAAACAAAAACTCCAACTGCTAGAGGGATCCCCCATAACATGAACCTGTCAGGGCCAGATTGTTCAAAGAGTGGATATATCTCTATCCATGGCCAGCAGATAAGTGTTGATGAAACAAACTGTACCATCCACTGGATAGTGATTTATCCAGTGATAGCATTATCCACCCTTTGAACAACCAGGGTCAGATCTCGCTAATTCAAATAGGCAAGCATAATCTTTCGGTGATGGTTTGTTTCTTTCAGCCACACGATACCCACAATCACGACTAAAAAAGAGACTGTAACTAGAATCACTTTCTCCTGTCTAACTAAAATATAATGACCACAAAACTCCACAGGAACCCTAACATTTCACACTAGCTCCTACTGTGCAAAATAAATAATTATTATGTTTTACAAATGTACCAACCTTGCATTGCATGCATGAAAACTGAAGGAAGTCTTGAAAGAAACAGCATGCTTACAGTGGATGCTATTCCAAGAATGGAGTAGCTTAAAGCCGCTGCAGCAAACGACAGAACAAGAGCTGCTCTGCTACCAAAAATATCTCCAAATCTTCCAAAGATTGGCCCACCGCACAACTGTACCACAGCAAATGTAGTCTGAAGGTATCCAAACACCACTGGGTCTGCTCCAAGTTTCTTTGATAAATACTTAATTAAAAATAAAAGACAAACTGAATTAGACAAAACCCTCATGAAACCCATTTTGCCTGGTTATCGACTGAGAAGCAGCTGGGATCCATAACATGCAAAAAACGTAGCTATTGGCCAATATGCAACCATCTTGAACTTATGTTTTGGTGAAAAACCCACATATATCCTGTCTTAATTTTAAATAAAGAAATAAAAACCGGACCCAAAATTGGCTGTTTCTCCAATGTAGTTTTTATATAATTCTGTGGTACCAGGATGTTTAATTTAAAGTATGGTTCAGTAACTGCATAAAAAGCTCAGCAACCCTTCTCCAGGCATTCAACATTTTAAACTTTCAGTTGGTCAAATTCCAGTCCCCTGGGGCAAAATGGTGTTCAAATGCCCCACCTTAGGGTCATACTATGCAATGAAATGTCCCATCCCCCAAGACATGCATGGGAAAAATAAATAGTGAAAAAGCAAAAAAAATACCTTGAACAAAAGATTTCAGCTTCCACTGTGCCAAGAATAATTCATTTACATATTATAATAATTCAAAACTATTGAATAACTAAATTCCTTCAAACACTGTACAGACCTTTTGAAGGCATTGTTTTTGATCCACAACATATACAAAAAACGGTGTTTTCTCTTGAGGCATATAAAGTGTCAAATTTCCCACCCATAACCCACCACATTATCAACTACTGATGGCAATTCCCGCCACCGGGAATATTGATTTAGTCACTCAAATACCTGGGGTATTCTCACGTTGTCGGGAGAGATGTAAGGGGGATGTTGTTCGGGGATGTTGATCGGGGATGTTGATGTGTCTGTTTGATCGTTACATCAGCAAAGTGTAAAATTTAAAATAATTTGCACTATGTAAATCGGAAAAATAAATAGCCCCCAGTTAATATTGTACGCTAAAACAACAGTTCTTCATGTCGTTGATAAGGGGTGTCTCAAAAATTAAGATCTAAGACCCGATGATCAAATTATCTGATACGTAAGCTTATACAGCCGCAATTTTGAGGTCACTGAAATTACTTTATTTACCAACAAATCCTTCACTTACCGGCAGGACTCCAATTTGAACCCAAAAACAAGATGAATATATAACAGCGTTCAAGTGCGTGTTCAAAATAAGCCATTTTCGATCACTCTTCAGAGAGGTCGTGGCTTTCATTGTGTTCTCTGACGATATCAGGATGTCATCTTGCTCTGAAGCCATTTCTCCGTTCATGTCCGCTCGTTTACGTATTTCAGAGTCTAGGGACATGTTTCTGCAACGTATAGAAACTAGGAACCCAATCTATCACCGGCAAAACAAAGAAAGGTGAATGCAATGATGCTCGAATTTGCCATGTCACCGAAACCGGCAAATGTTTTCGAAGCCACTATCCATCACGCCAGCGGTATTGCAAACAGAGACCACTTGGAAAGATGCCACGTGGCCGCTTCTTAGCGTTTTCAATTCACTTTCCATCCAGATGTAAGCTCTAAGAAGGGCATGTTTAAAACACCAAATGGCGAAATAGCGCTCCGCCTAGTCTAAATTAAAATAACGCTCAGGCTAGCCTAAATATCAATGACTCCACAGTGGGTAATGATTAGGAACTTTTGCAACGCTGCATTTATTCTGGCTAATAGTCATATTTGGAAGTTATCTATTTAGCCTTAGAGATTTCTCTGAATGTTGTCTTCAAAAATGTGTGGACATAGATTCATATCGTATTTATGACACTGTGAAGTAGTCACGCTCACTTTGGAAGTAACACAACACGATACACAACCCTCACTCTCGCTTAAGTAATCAATAACAGCTGAAAAAAATTCAATATTTAGAATGTAAGACCAGCAGAAAAGTAATTTCTACTTTTGAGCACCTTTCTTGACTAGACAGGAAAACGTTCACTTCTCTTGAAGTTGCGTTGCAAGCAATGGCAAGTTAAATGCTGCCTTTCTCTGGTTCTATGGTGAAGTGGACTGGAGGCTGTTGTTTATTCAGATCCTGTTAAAAGCTATTGGCACTTTTGCAACCTGTTTTCTCCAGAGCATAGCCCTGTAAGATGATGTATGCTTCAGAACAAAAAAATTGTTTTAATTTGTCAGGCAACGCTTCTTGAACATTGTTTGGGTTATTGCGCAGTTTTAAATTAGCACTTCTTTCTTTTAGGGGTGTGTAACCTTACCTCGACAGGAATGGATAATCAGCAAAATATTTATTTATTATTTATTATTATTATAAAATATACGGGGGGGAGGGGGGATTCTCACGCTCTCTGATTGGCTAAGAAAACTTGCGCCTTCCTCCCAACGAATCAGATGACAAGCTGAAGCCGTTTTCCTATGCTCTATGTTAATTGTAGGCTTAACAAGGTTCTCCTTGGTTCATTGTGATATCTACCTCTGATCTGATTGGTCGCTGTGACTGGATTACTTTCAAGTTCACAGAACTCAGTTAAAAAGCGTCCCATAAAATATATCATATCATTTGACCTGCAGATGATAGGAGGCAAACTGATCCTACCTCAAAGGTGTGCATTGAAAGAAAATTTGAGTTACGAAGCAAGTCGCTAGTATACACTTGGCTGCCTCAGAATCATTCATTTTCATAATTGAAGACAAGAAAACATTCAGTTTATTAACTTACCTATGGCACATAGTAACTAAAATCACCTTAAGTTAAGATTGGGTTCAGTCATTTATAAATGAATTGCCTTAAACGATAATACCTCCTTACGAATTTAACTTAAGGGTTCCACAACAAACCTGGGGCCCATTTCTCGAAAGCCCCGGAAACTTTTCGGGCCTGTAAACCCATAGCAAAATCTTGAACCGTATGGTTACAGAGCTGTTTTATTCACATATTTTTGATATGAAGAGAGGTTCTTTTCATATGAAAGAAGTTTCAGGCATATGTACTTCTCTGTATTTAGATACAGATGAACTAAAAATGGCTTTATGGGCCCGAAAAGTTTCCAGGGCCGGGCCCCTGATCTTATCACTTACATGTTTAATTCATCTTACACAATAAGGTGCTACAATGCCGTTGCGGGAATGCAGGGATCTCGCATCGGTGGTTAAAAAGACATGTATTGCATATAAGAGGGAAGAAATAAGGGGGAAAAGTTAACCCCGCATGCTCTAAATAGGTGATGGTAAAAGTCGTTCCACAGTAGACCATACTTTTACCAAGGAGGTATTACTTCTACAGTTGGCCGACTACACCCAAGCATGATTTCATGTTCTTTTGCTGCAGCAAATTCATCAAATATTGTCTTTGCGAACGCTTGGCAATTGGACCAAATTGGATGATAATCATTATTAAGTTCTTTTTTGTCAAGAAGGAATTGGATCAAGTCACGCATGGTTTTTCCTGGTTGGCAAAAATCAAAACTTATTCCCTTTATAGGTGTTCTTCGGCGAATATTTCTGATATAACATCGCACACCATCAATATATTTACTCCTTTGCATGTAAATGTAATGGTCGTTTTTCTCAGTTGAATACCACCAGTAGTCAGTTTCAAGAATAACAAATTGATGATTATCTAATAGTTGAATTAACTGAGAATCATTGAGAGGGCATTTGTAAACTGTAATAACGCCTTCCAAACTAAAATGTGGTGTTCCAATTTGATAAAATTCAGAGTAAATACTAAGAACTACTTCAAAAATGGTTACTTTTTCGGTGTAAAATAGAAACCTGTCTCGGAGAAAAGTTATATTTACGTTGCAGGCTTGGAAGTTCCGTTGGAAATGAGTGCAAAATTGGCCTAAAGTGAAACTAAAAAGGGTTCAGAATTTCTGATCCCCCAAAGAACACTAGAAAGGGTTCAAAATTTCTGATCCCCCAAAGAACACTAGAAAGGGTTCAGAATTTCTGATC